TAGGATTTAATGAAACACAAATAGCCGTTGTCGCTTCTAAAATTGCAGAAACCATTAGCAAATTTAAAGTTAAATGAACATCTTTTGAGGGCTGTATGCAACAATGAGTTTATGTTCAAAGTGACAATAAAGTTATTCTGAGTCAAATCTTACTGTTTGTCCTCTAAGCCAAATATTTTGAGAGTGCTACACTAAAATGTACAGTATTCATGTTTCTTTGAAGACCCCAGTTTCGAGTGTCAAGAGTTTCATAAATTACTTTTTTTGATTGAAACCTCCAAACTATCCAAGGAAGCTAATTAAAACCTAATTGCTATATATGGGAAGACAAACACATTTCTCTCAGCGCATTCATGTGTCTCTGCAAAGGGACTGGAAGCTGCAGCTCCTGCTGAAAAGTTCAAATGTCTCCCACAGCAGGCTCAAATCAGAAGCTGCTGGTAGGCAGCCTTCTCTGCATTAAAAACGTTCACCCATTACCAATAGCTAATTAGACCCTCAGGCCAAATGAGACTTCCCTACTCTTTGGACACCATCTCCTCTACACACACACCCACGATTTAACAACTGCATGTAACAGCTGGGCATGTTTATCGGAGCATTTAGGCTTTGATATTATCAGCGAGATGATGAGTTAATCTCCCAGCTTAAATTCTTATTATTCCACTTGAGCCAATGGTTTGTGACGTTGCCTTACCAAGTCTCCACCAAAGACTTGGTACATGTTTCTTCTAATACATACATTTTTTTTGGCAAAACTAAAACCAAAAAGATTTTCCCCACCTCCCAAATATCTTTAACACCAATGTGTATCTAAAGTCCAGGAACTGGAGTTCGCCTACACGCCGCTCCTTCTTTGCATAGTCCTGTTTTTTTCTTCCGTGAAAAGCTTAGGATGGCACAATGAGCTTTAGGGTCAAGTGAGGAAAGGGTTTAGCCTTAATCTGACATTTTAGTCATCGTGATCGTAGTCACGGTTAGCAGCATTTGTTACACAAAGCAGCATGACACAGTGTTAAGAAGGGGGGAACAACAGAAGAAGAGCCGTATTTGCACGCGAGCATCCAGCTGAAATTAGTTGACACCAAGCAAGATGAGATGACAGTCAGCAAGGAATGAAAATAGTTTCTAAGCCAGGGATCAGCAACCTGTGGCTCTGGAGCCGCATGTGGCTCTTTTATCCCTCTGCTGCAGCTCCCTGTCGCAGTCAGCTCCACAATTGATAGGGCTTTCAGTTAGGACAGGTAGAGGAGAAAGGATACCGCGCTAGGAAGAGACTCTATGGTGGGGGAATCAGACTTCCAGTCAGCTCCAGAACTGAACTGGGGGCTTCTGGTTAGGACTTTTGTTGTTCTTTGAGTGTTTAAGGTTGCCAATCCCCGTTTTAAGCAACCAATCGTCCAAAAGGTGCTTTTTCAAAAAATACATTTTTTTCCATAGACATGAAGCAACCAGTCTTACATAACTCAGTCACAGGAAACAGCCAGTGAACGTGAAGAAAACACCATCAAAAGAAAATATTAGTAGTTCAGGGCTGAACTGTGGGATCCTTGATGCTCTCTGAGCTAGGTGGTGTTCTTGCAGATGTTTCATGACCCAAATGGGTAATATCATCAGTGCTGGAAGGAAATGGGGTTTGGTAATGAAACGCTGGCAACCAATCTCAGAGAGCATCAAGGGCCCCACATGAAGAAAACAAGTCAACGTATGTATGAAGGTTTGCTAGAACAAAACAAAATGAAGGGCTAGACCAGTGGTAGTCAACCTGGTCCCTACCGCCCACAGGTGGGTTTCCAGCTTTCATGGCGGGCGGTAGGGGGTTTGCTGTAACTCTGCTTTATAAATTTTATAAAGCAAAGTTATTTCCCTACTTTATAAATCCTCATTACTGTGGAACCGGTGGGCGGTTAGAAAATGTTACTACTAACAGAGATACAAAAGTGGGCGGTAGGTATAAAAAGATTGACTACCCCTGGGCTAGACAAAGGACACCATTCAGGCACACGACTGTGGTATAAAAAACTCTTGTCTTCTCAAACAATACTTACATCACCTAGCCAGTATTACAGTTTGGTAAACATGAATGTGTGATGATGTGTGTAGTTTAAGGAATTTTAATCAATAAAGATAAATGATTAGTGGAAACACTATGCATTGGGTTCAGAGGTTTTCCATTACCACGTAAGATAATGAAGTTCAAAACTCAACGTATTTGCATTTTCACTAGAATGTAAGAATGTACAGTGGATAATAACACACAATTGGAAGGAAGTGAATTCTACTTCTGAAAAAAAAGCATGAAAATGTTACGAATACCTACTGGAGTGACATAAACTCCTTGGTGGACATCGCCAAACTGCCCTTCACCGATGCAGCGTCCCAGTTCAATCCGCTCTCTTTGAATCTCATAATCCCTGGCTATTAAAATACAATCCATTTAAATTTAAATCCAATGATGAAATAGCTTCCCCATAAAATACCCCCACAAATGACAAAGCACCATCCAAGGTCGCTTAAAATGATTACCGGTTTGAAAAATATACCAATATTTGCCCACAAGCAATCCACATAAGTACCATTTCTATAGTGGAATCCTCTTAAACACCCATTCAACTGGAAATCCTGGAAAGGACATGAGGCGTCTAGTTCTGAATTAGTTCCAGTGTGTTTAGTTACATTAATGCAAGCAATGTAATTAAAGCATCTTAACTGAATTATGACCAATGGTTCACATGGAAAGAAATGCAAAAAGGGTAGGTTATTTTGATTAGCTCCTGCTAATGGCATCTTTAAGAGGTCTCCATTACATGGTATTTTAGGGGCTTGTGGTTTTAATCCTATGCATACATTCCTGGAAATAAATCCCACTGAAGAGTGAAATTTACTGCCAAGTAAAAATACAAAATATTGAATTGTTAATCAGGAAATCGGCCAAGAATAGTTTTAATAAGCCTGAAAAAGATCTACCCTAAATACCTATGCAATGTATTCTGCTGACACTTCATACATATTTTATTATATGTTTTTTTTTCTTTAGTAAATTGCTTATTCCTAAAATCATTAGGCATTATTCATTGCCAACTGAATTGTCTATTTTTATTTCCGTATTTCAAATAAAATAGTGGGAAACATGTTTTCTTGTTTCCAAAGAGACAAGTGGAAATGATTTATTATGATGAGGTTTTTTTAAAAAGGTAGAAATAGGAATAAAATCTTCTGTAGTCTATATATCCATTTTTATTTGAACAAAGCAGTTTTTTCTTTATAATCCCATAACTATCAAATGTGTTGGCTTAAAAATACACAATTGAGCCAGCACTTTATTAATAGAAAGTCAACAATTCCTTTTTTTTAAGGTATCTCCAAAATTGTAAACAGATAGATAATTAAAGGATCTCCTGTTACCTTCATCTATTCCATAGCTTTCTGCAGTGCAATTAAGAGAAAAATCAAACACCGGCTTAGAAAATGCTTCTTAAAAATGCAAATTACATTTGGGGAAAAAAAATTCCAGTATTCAAAATCCCACACACAGACATTGTATTTGAAATTTCTGCAAATACCCCAAAATACATGATCTACGTTTATGACATCACCTTCATAACACTATAGAGGCACAGATGCCATCCAACTTTACTTTGCATATTATAAAACATTTTAGAATTAGGTGGTTACATTTAATCCATTACATACTGACTATTATGAGCTACGTTTTTCATTAACCGTGGCTAACAATTAAACAAAAAAAGTCATTCATTCACTCTTACCCTGAAAGAATACTCATTTTTAAA